TCTCGTGAAGTTTAACGCCAAAAGCTGATCATTTTTCAAAATAAACTTGCATTTTAAACTACTTAAAACAATATCTAAGGCTGCATCAAAAGGTAGCTTCGCGTCTGCTGCCATGTTGAAGATGTAAACAAACTGCTTCGGTGTGTCGCATAGATGTCGTCATCGTCTTGCTGCTCCCTCCCCGTTCTGTGATTGGTTCCCTAAATGAGGCGAAAATCTGGCCATGGTTTCCAGACTGCCTTTCAGCGCGAATAAAATCGCGTTGCTGGAAGGCAGCATGGGGGAAAACCAGACTAGAAACATGCATCAACCATTTCAATTTATCCGTTAAATAAAACACCTCACCTGTTGAGTAATAAAAACACCATCATCTCTACGTCGCTTTTCTTTTCAAATCCAGTTCTCCATCTCTGAAAAGAGCTAACAGGTCCAGGCTCCTAAAATATGTTTCCGCTCCAAGTTAAAACAGAGAAATGCATTTGATCATTTCATTCATGCATTAAATGCATTAACTATCCTAAGAGCATTTTAAGTCAGTGATTCCCCGAGACAAGCACGCGCGAACGCAATTTCCCGCTAAAACCATCCCGACATTGTATAAAATATAAACACCTGTAATAGGCTTCCCATATAAGGGTAAGACAAAAACACTTTTTGGATGAAGGATTGATTATGTATTTATTATGAAATATAATTTAGGGACTCTGTAGTTATGACATTCACACACATGTACGGAAAGCCTAAAGGGACATGATGAGGAAAAATATTAGAGCATGAAAAACTTATTATATTACTCGCGTTCCATTGAGAAATGTTGCATTCGCTTGCAAAGAACACAAGTTTGGCAAGGGAACACAAACTTGCTTGGGGGAAAGCAGGTTTTGCGAGTGAATGCAGTTTCTTGGGGAATGAAAAAGCATTAAAATATAGCCTATTTTTCCATTACCATGTCACTTAAGTTATGCAGAAAAATGCAGAAAATGCAGAAAAGTAATGCAGAAAATGCAGAAACTAATGCAGAAAAGTTTCACATTATTTATTTTTATTTTCTTAAAAAATTATTGAAAAAATCTGGACATTAATCATGTAATAGTTTTATGAGGCACTTGAATCTATTCGCAGCCCTAATATTTTAAGTCATAATTTCATTTTATAATATTAAAAGAAAATCCAAGTACCTGGTTTGAGTATAGCCTACACAATCTCCATTCTAACTGAAAGCAGAAACATGTGGCAGTTTTTATATGCAAGCCTGTTATGGAGCAGGAAATCTTCATAATACATGAAATAAGAGACTGAGATGTGATTTGTAAAAAAGATAACTTGGTTTATTTTCTATTTTTTTGGACACAGTTGTCCATTTGTATGGCTTGAGATCATTGTTGAATCACAATACTTATATAGAACAACATTTGCTCCATTAAAGGAGCTTTGGGTTAAAAACTCTTTGTGCAGTTCAAACAAAAACAGCATTCATTTACAAACACAAAGATTAAATTGCAGTGTAACTGCCAGAAACAATGCATATAATGCATAAAACGGAGCATTTGTAAAAACAAAAATATAAAAATATTCTTTTGAGCAAGAAATATAAATCCAAATGTAAAATCATTAAGACATATATACAAAGTTATAGTCATTAAGTCTTCTTGATGTTTAGAGCTTTTCAGGTGATGTTCATTCTTCCGAGCACAACGCTGCTACATCCTCTGAGTGATCCGGGAAAAGACGCAGGATGTCACGGGAATATTTGGAGTATCCGTCATGGGAAAGTAAAACTCGTTTGAGGGTGAGGAAGGACACGGCCCTCTCCAGAAGATCTGACGTGTGGAAGCCGTTCTGAAGGTACTCTCCCAGAGCAGATTTCAGCTTCTCCAAACTGTTGCCACACTTTCTTTCCAAACATGTAAGAACACATCTGAAAACAACAACACAATCACTTCAGCTCATGTGCATTTAAAAGATTAAAGCTGAATAAATACCAGAGGATAATGCTTTATGTACAGTATATCCCTGAGTTTGTGAAGCTCTCACCTTGCGTGTTGAACATGTTGAGTCTTGAAGCTGCTCTGGAAAGACACGTCCATGTAAGTCGCCATGTTGAAGTTCAAGCTCAGTTTGGACTGAAGCTGTGAAATGTCGTCTCGTGATCTTGCATTTATACTCGCACCTCACTCCTCTCAGCCAATCAGAAGTCTTGTGAACAATGTGTTGATGAGTGCATCGGTGGGATGTTCTCCTCACCGCCATCTGTCAGTAAGGTCACTCATAGTCGTCTTTATGAATGTGGGGATGCAGGACATTTCAGGTTCCCACAAGATGTTCAACTCAAGAGTTGACTTGTAAATAATGCAGAGGACACAGTCAATATGCTCTGAAAATCTGTTTTAAAATAATAATAAAAAATGTAAAGAGTTATTCATTTCAGCACAGGTTTAAGCTTTATTGTCAATTTCAAACAAAATGCAAAGGAAAAAAGTTAAAGTAGACATTTCATTTGGGTTTAGGCTTCATTTCTATGAAGTGAATTTGAAAATACAAGAGAGTTAAAAATTGATATAGATGATTTTTGATCTTGTCAGTGCTAAACGAACACTTGTGGACTCTTGAAAGTCTAACATGCTTTAAGAATCCAAGCTTGTGCATGTGTGTAAATACCCATAAGTGTGTCGACTTAAATATGGAGGTTGTGTTTGGGTTTAGGATGCTGTGACTGTGTTCTCCAGAAACCATTCCGACACACGTCTAAAATATAAACACTTATAATAGGCTTAACACAGTGAATCAGGGTAAAACAAAAACATTTTTGGAGGAAGGATTCATTATATAGATTGATATAGATTACAATCACCTTGTCACTTAGTTACACTCTCAGAAAAAAAGTACGAAAGCTGTCACTGGGGCTGTACCTTTTCAAAAGGTAAACTTTTAACCATTTTAGGTCCTAATATGTACATTTTAGGTGCTATTTACATTTTAGGTGCTAATATGTACATTTTAGGTGTTAATTTTAGGTGCCAATACGTCCATTTTAGGTGCTAATATGTACATTTTAGGTGCTAATATGTACATTTTAGGTGTTAATTTTAGGCGTTAATATGTCCATTTTAGGTGCTAATATGGACATTTTAAGTGCTAATATGTACATTTTAGGTATTAATATGTACATTTTAGGTGCTAATACGTCCATTTTAGGTGACAATATGTACATTTTAGGTGCTAATATGGACATTTTGGTGCTAATATGTACATTTTAGGCGTTAATATGGACATTTTAGGCGTTAATATGTCCATTTTAGGTGCTAATATGTACATTTTAGGTGTTAATATGTCCATTTTAGGTGCTAATATGTACCATTAAGGTACAGAAGTGTACCTTTTGAAAAGGTACAGCCCCAGTGACAGCTGTTGTACCTTTTTTTCTGAGAGTGGGTGCTCTGTATTAATGCATCAAATTTGCACATTTTTTTATCTACACTAGAACTGTGACTCTGTTCTCCAGAGTTTCTCACACTGAGACACAAACACAACAATAGAAGTGTGTCTATTCACATGATAATGAGACGGACAAATACTAATAAAACCCCAGGGTCAGGGATTTAAACTCTCAGTAGTTTCCCACGTCATTCACGTTCACTTCAAAATCACTTCTGTGCAAAAGGTTTTTAAGTTTATCAACATTTTTTAATCCGGGCCAATTTAAACAGAAATATCCTGATATTTAAGTAACATTTTTAAAATTTTGAAGGATTTATAACTGTCTAGCTATAAAAAAAAAAAGTTTAAAGGTCCAGTGCGGCACACGGCACAGATGATTCAGGATTTGGGCAGAGAGTTACTCCCATGAGAACAGACACACTTCTATTGTGCGAGTGATTTAATGTGATGAATACAGAAGTGTGTGAATCTCTGAGACTCCAGCAGTGACAGCAGTCAGAATAAAGATCTGTTCGAAAGCAGCTGCGTGTTCATTGAGCTTCGAGCATGTGGCGGCCCACATCCCTCATTGTCTGCTTGAGCTCTTCCATTGGCTCCAAACTGTGAGAAAGTCCAACAAGCTCAAGCCTCACACATTCATATGGAGATTTGTGAGTATAAATAGAGGATCTGCAGCCGCTGTGAATCAGACTCGCTCTGCACAGAGATCCAGACATGACACCTACAATCATCTCAAAGGAGCATCTCCCTCTCAACAACAAGGTACATCACATGATCCTCCTTCCAGCAACATTACATCGCACTCTTCTCCATCACTGCTTATTCCAAGACACTTTCCTGACGCTTTTCTGTCTCCATCTGCAGCTGAGAAAGACAATCGTGGAGAAGATGTGCAGAGATGCTCTCATCTCATCATGGCTCCAGAGTTCCTGATTCCCAGCCGGAGAAAGCACAAATCCTGGAGACGATTCCAGTTCACATGCTGTCAATCAAGGCTTCTCCAGGTGTGTCCGTGAGATCCAGAGATGAGATGAAGACCGAAGCTCTTCCACAAGTCAAAAAGTGTCTCGACCAGAACACCTTCAGCGAAGAGATGAAGCTCAACAAGAGCGCCACCCGGAGGCCGTGCCAGATCTCACAGCGACCAGCACTGAACATCTACACTAGACTCAGCGGGCTGTGTCGTTTCAGCTTCTCTTTTGGAGAAAAACTGTTTCCTGAGTTCCAGTTTGGAAGAGATATTTGTACTGCAAAGTGCTCTGATGATTCGATCTTCTATGAAGACTCAAGAGATCCTGACGGGAGCATATACTGACGTCTATATTAGACAACATTGACTTTTACATTAAATGCATCTTGATAAGATGTGAAGGAAACACTTCATTTATTATTTTAAAGGCCAATCTGATAGCATGATGAAGAGTCGATTTACACAGCACGTTATACGAAATGTTATAATTTCTTGAAATGAATGACAAGAATCTTGTTTCATTATTAATTATGTGCTGATTTCCTCTTAGATGATATTCATAGAGAGACTTTAGGATTTCTCTGAAGGGAACCTGATGTCTATATTAGACAACATTGACTTTTACATTAAATGCATCTTCATGTCATTTTTTTAAAGATTTTATTATTGTCCTTATCAGGGCTACAAAGATAATTTACCTAATATTACAAGCAAAAAAACATTTGAAAACAAACCAAAAAATTGTTTTTTGTCCATTTTTGGGATTGCTTGTTCTCTTTCGTCTTCAGTGAAGACTTTATCCAGGTCATCATGGACTTATGATACAGAATCAACGATTCAATCTGAATTTGCTTTGGTAAAAGCAATGATACAGATGAAACAATTTCTGTAAAGGAAATATAAACCCTTTTTATTAATCAAACTTTTGAAGTTAAAGTTTTTCTTTTCTGAATAATCATTTTCAGCTTGGAAAAATATTGATACTGCTATTAAGTACTTTTCTGACTTTGTCTTCGGTGAAGCCACAAGCCGTAATGTGACGCAAATGTACTCAAAAGTCTTTTATAAAGAAGTGCAGTCATCCATGAACCATGTTCTGTTTGTGATTTGGAGAATTCTTCAAATAAAATGTTGTGATACGTTATCAATGAATGAATGCAAAGATCACTGAAAATAAAACAAAAACAAAAACTTCATTATGTTTCCATCCATGTAAACTGAACCTGACAAAAACACCAATAATAATAGATTAATACTATACGCATTTGTATAATATGAATTATGTTTAAGACAGATTTATGAACCAAAACACTACCAAAGCAAAGTTATGATTAGCAAATATTTTTTTGCATACTACACTTTAAAGAGATAGTCTCATGTACAAGGTTAAAACAGCAGGAACTGATCTAGAAGAACTCTATATAGTAGAAAGAAAGTGATGTAATTGTCATGTGATGACTCAAAAAACGTGGTAAATGACTAAAGGGATCGACGTATAGGCTGTGTCTCGATTTAAAAGGATATAAACACAGACATTCTATATTAAATAAATTACCAGAACTGTTTTAACGTACTTTTAGTTAATTTATTTACACTGTAAACCCTAACGGTCAAAATTATTAATTGGTTTGAGTAGGACAAACTTAAATTCGACGAATTAGTTCAGTCAAATTAATTTTTATGAGTATTTAGCACTTTCTTTTTCTTTCAAGTTCACAGAACTGATATATTTGTAAACTGAACTGTTTCATTGTTTTGAGTTTTATGAAATTATTTATTTTAATTTAGACAAAAATTTAAGTTTAATGGCTGAAATGGCTGGGATACTGTTTCCCAGCATGCTTTGCCGATGGCACTCAAAAGAGAGTGAAAATGCTAAAATTAAGTGCAATATAATGTTTTTTTTGTGTAAGATTAATGTTAAGTGTGAGATTTAGTAGTGACTAATGTTTTGTTATGCTAATTTAGAAGAATTTCTGTTAATGTTGGCTTTAGGATGGTGACAAGTGGTGCATTCAGCTTGATTTGAGAGCAAATTATCCCTTTATATTATTACGCTCATACAGTGCTTATAACATACTGTTTCGAATATGTTTGCATTTACTATGTCAGCAGATTAGCTTTTAAAGCTAACTAAGTTTATACTATTAAAAGTGATTTGAGTTCTGCCAACTTATTCGGGTTTACAGTGTACTTCATAGATTTAAGTTATAGTTACTAATTAGTACTATTAACTTTATTTACCCAAGTTATCTTAACTATAAGTTATTGAGTTACTTGGAAACCAATCAAAATATTTTTTTTTATGCTTAAATTGTTTGAAATAATAAACTTAAATGATTTGAGTTGAACTAACTCAACAGGTTTTACAGTGTATTTTTCTATGTATTTTTTGAGACTATGTGTGTTTTTGTACCTTGTGGTAATGTTGTGTGTTGTGCCTTGTTTTTTTTTCTGCTGGCTGTACAAATAATTGCCCTTCGGGGACAATAAAGTAACCCTGACCTTGATTAGTTCAGGGAAGTGCCTATGATGTCCAGAAAAGCTGATCTGTTCAAACATAAGGAAAATTATCAGGATATAAATAGGAAAAATCAACAAGCGTTTTTGCTGTAATCTAAGTATAATAGAAATGGATTTTGTCTGCAGGACACTGATCTATATCTGCATAGATTCTGAAGTGCTTTTCAACTCTGAGCGTCCCTGAGCGTTCACTACAAAAATAACTTTTACTGCTTATTTACACACATAGTTACTTCTAAAAGAGCCTCTCATCCAAAGCATCTGTATGAAGTGTGGTCCAGTTTGTGCTTCAACACCTTTATGTTTGTAGCTGAGATCCTTAACCTTTGACCCACCAGTACGCCACGTATTAAAGGGAGTCCGGTTTTAGGAGCGTTTCTTGTTGCTGTTGATTCCTGCGTTCTGCTGTGCGATGATAAAGTCCAGGATGAGCTGGGCAGATTTCCTCGGCCGCTCCATCACCACAGAATGACCACAGTTGTCTAGCAAATGAACCTGGGATCCTGGGACGGCTTCGGACAGAACTGAAGCCCCGGACACGTCCAACACCTGCAGGATACGGTATAGTTTAATCTTTAATGAGGTCACAATGGTCGATGAAATGCATTTTTTCAATGGCTGATTCTTAAACTAACAATTACATATGTGATTTCAAACCTTGCAAAGAAAGCAATACCCTTAATCGGTGAAAGTGCCTTTAAAGTTTTAACACCGTTTTCCTGGTATAAATCGCAAAATCAGCTAAAATTTGACTGTTTTCCGACAATGACTCAATTTAAAAGGAAGATAAAGGAGTATTTGAGTACTAGATGCACATGTGCTGTTACTGAGAGCTGCTGGTGATTATGTTGAGATTATGTTATATTGCCAACAATGTACTTTTTTTTATATGTTTTGTATATGTATTTGAAGAGTTCAGATGCAAAAGCCTCTAAATGCCATTTGAAATTTTCTTCTTTAATGATGATTTTTATCAAACTTGTATATTTAAGTTCAGTAATTTCACTTAAATGTCAATGATAATTACCTATTAATTGTTATTTAAGTGAAATTACTGAACTTAAATATACAAGTTTGATAAAAATCATCATTAAAGATGAAAATTTCAAATGGCATTTAGAGGCTTTTGCATCTGAACTCTTCATTTTTTTAAAATATGGAACTATTTATTCTGCTGTCTTGAAAAACAGATTCTGAATCTCAATGGGACTATTTCCTGGTAGAATAAAGGTAAATTAATTAATTAATTAAAGCACCATATCATTTAAACTTTGTCAAAGTAAGTTTGGAATTGACATTTCTAAAGTAAATTCTATCAGTTTCTGTGTGTTTAGCAATGCATCACACATCACAACACGTGGCATTACTTTTTCACAACATGTTTTGTGCCCACATTGCTCAAAATGTTATGGAGTTGAAGGTCGGAGCAAATGTAGTTCATTGCACCACGCCCTATTATTAAGATATTCTTGTACCTTTTTCTTTTTTTTAATGATTTGGAGATTTTATGTTTTATAAAACATGTTAACGTGAGTAAAGCATGTGCTATATGATGGCTATCCACAGTTCCTATTCAGGAAACTGTAAAACTAAGGTGTGTAAGTAATGTAAACATGGAGTGCAACAGTATCCATCCACATTTTCAGTGGCCTTGGCTGCGCAAGTATTTTTCCTATTAATCTTTTCCCATAGAGATTTGATTAATTACAGTATTATAAGCCCTGAAGCCTAAACCAACCAGCTGAATCACCACACATTGAAGCCTAAAAGTATTTAAAAATCAGACAAAAAAAGGCAAAGGTACAAGACTGTACTTAAACTTAAAAAAAAAAAAACTACAATCCCATGTACCATTGTATGTACACACCAGTGTTGGGTAAGTTACTCTAAAAAAGTAATTAATTACCTCTTCAACAGTGTAATTAGTAATTAGATTACTGTACTAATTACTCTCTCTAAAAAGTATTTAATTACTAATTACTTTAAAAATCCCATCTCAATCTCAACCAGCTGAATAATACAAGGATAGACATGAATCTGTTTTAATTATTTCAAATAAATACTATAAAATTGCATGAATTATCCTTAAACTGACCAAGGTGGAGAAGGTTACATTACAAAAACATACTTTAACATCAGACAATACATTTTGATATTAAACCCACTATTGTTTTATGTCTGATCTCATGACATTTCACACTTTTTTCATACATATTTTACAATAAATCATAGGAATTTGTACGAGTGCGGTCGTAATATTTAGACACCTCATAAAATGCATACGAATCGCTGTGAGATCGGATTGATCCATACATAGTATTTACCTCAATTACATCAGAAGTAACTGTAATTAAATTACAGATAAATTAAGAGTAATTTACATTTTCAAGGGAAAAGTAATTAAATTACAGTAACTAATTACTTAGTAATTAGTTACACCCAACACTAGTACACACACACATAGTTTGAGACTGTAGGGTGCTATATTGGCATGATTTGTTTGTTTTGATTCTCTGATTGGTGGAGATGATTTTTCTGAAGAATCATGGGTAATGTAGTTATTCTTTCAATCATTATTTAAAAAATAAGCTGAAATTATGTGGACTGATGGTTTTAACAAAAGCTCATACCATAGATTTAAAACCTCATAGCTCACAGTAGGGCGGTCTTTAAAGGTTTTATAAGTTATGTAGAGAAAATGACTGTTGTGCTCTATCTATTCAGTTAAAGTATGTCCATACCTGGTCGTTTTTTCCCCAAATGACTTGCAGAGGAGTTGAGATGAGGTGCATGTTCTCATGTAAAGAGTGTCTGGATTTTTCTCCAACAAGCTCCATAAAACCTGCAGACAACACTAAGAGTTAATGACAAGATACACTCAAAAAATAAATGTTTGCCTCTTGTTCAATTTAATTAATTAAAATAAGTAGCACGACATTTTGTTACAACTTAATTTAATTGTGTCCAATCAACTTAATATATTTAAAACTTAAACTACATGAATAATTTTTGTTGACAACTAACTGGGCAGTGAATCTGTAGTTCCCAGCATGCTTTGCAAGAGACTGCATTAGGAGGGTAAATTTAGGGATTAAAGTGTTATTTCATGTGTTTTTCAGTAATAGCTGTAGTTAATGTTAGTGTTTAATGTTCAGTTAAGTTAGAAACGTCGAGCATTTTCTGTATGTTTTTGAAGTGGTGAGTGTGTTTAGGCACTCAGTATAAACTTAGACTACATAAGTAATATTGATTGTTACTATGTAAAAAGTAGTTTCAATATAATTGAATATAATTACTTCACTTTCATTGAAAGAAATTGTAGAGTCAAATTAGATAAAAGTAAAATTTCATCTACACTGAAAAAAATAATATGCTTTATCTAATCAATAAAATTGTGGCAACATATTACACGCAATATTATTAATTAAATTGTACAAATTAGAATTAATTAGAATGTTAATTTGATTAACTATTACTCAATTCTAATTTGTTCAATTTAATAAATAATATTGCTTGTAATCTGTTGCCACAATTTTATGGATTAGATAAAGCATATTCATTTTTACAGTGTAGGCAGGACAAAATTTAAATATAGTAAACATGACACAATTTTAGTAATGGCAAAACTTTAGGAAATGACTATTTTTTTTAAGTAGTCTTGACTAAATTAGTTTAAGTTCATACAACACGATTACAACAAATCATTTCAAACTGATTCGATTTTGTTGCAAAAATGTAATTTAATTTTGTTTTCCTTAAATTAATTAAGTTTGTTATTTTTTTGAGTGAGATAAAACAACACCAGCGATACTCACACTCTCGGTAGAAGTCATTGTTTGGGATGCGAACGTCAACCAGACCTTGAAGAATCTAGCAAGAAAAGATTCATTAGCAACTGATTCAGTGTTCAAACTCTCATACGAAGAATCAATGTACATAAACACACCTGTTTAGGAATCTTAAAGCGCACGAAGGAACACAGTCTGAGCATCTCCTCCATCTCCTCCGGTGTAGAGGGAATCAGCGGGATCCCGTCACTGTCCTGGCTCTTCTCCAGTTCCCTCAAACGCTCAACAAACTTACTTTCAGTGGGATACTGAAGCCCTGTGAATCCAACACATGTTTGAGTATAGGCCATCACATTTCAGGGAGAAGCATCATAAAAATAAAGTCAAACTGAATTAACCTCTTCTTACAGTTTTTTACAGTATAATGGCCTCATCAACATTTGTTTTGGCACAAAGTACATGTCATAAGATATTAATATGATACATTGGGCCTAACATTGCAAAATAAGATTTCTTGAAAGTTCATAAGGAACCGATTGCAAAAAAAAAAAAACATTCCAGATCCTGACATTTCTTAAGAATTGGCCTTTTGCTCCAAATGTTGAAATATCCCTTGATGAACTATTACTGACTCAACTAGCAATGTTGAAGAGGTATAGGGTCAGAAACAAAATCAACACACACACACACACACACACACACAAGAACATTCCTTAGGTGTAATGGTTTTTATAATGCACTAATGACATTTTCTAGCCCATAACTGTAAACCCATCACAGTACATTTCACTTGTTAGTAATGGGGTGGTCAAACCAGTACACACACACACACACACACACACAAGGACATTCCTTAGGTGTAATGGTTTTTATAATGAGCTAATGTCATTTTCTAGCCCATAACTGTAAACCCATCACTGAAAATGTTCTGCATTTTTACATTTTCGCTTGTTAGTAACAAGTCATGTTTATTTAGGCATGTCCTCATAATGTAGAGGGGTGGTCAAACCAGTACACACACACACACATACACACAGACCTGCTGGACAGATGAGAGTGACGCCGCAGAGATCAGTCGGGTGACGGGCAGCATAAACTCCTGCTACGTTTCCACCCATAGACGTGCCGATCAAATGGAAAGGCCTTTTCTTCAAGCCGGAGCTCTTCACAAACTGCATAAATAGGAAAACATGAGAAAATACAAACAGCTGTTATTATCATCCCGTTTTTTAATGTTTTATACAAGTTTTTTTTTACTGGTTGTACGAAATATTCCATTTAATCATTATATTGCAAACATTATGGGATCGTTACATTTGAACACTCTCTGAACATTCTAAAACAAGTAGTTACATTTAAAAAATGAACGAACATTCTAAATCAAGTAGTTACATTTAAAAAATGAACGAACATTCTAAATCAGTTGGATTTTAAAAAATGAACGAACATTCTAAATCAAGTAGTTACATTTTAAAAAATGAACGAACATTCTAAAACAAGTAGTTACATTTAAAATTTATTTTTTTTCTTGTTTTTTCCCCCCTTTTTTCCCGAAAAAAAGGGAAAAAACGAAGGAGAAAAAAAAGAATTTTTTTTTTTAGATAACTTTGAACGAACATTCTAATAACATACTGGAAGAATGTTTGCTCATAATTGAGAGCTTGTCAGAACGCTGTTGTTAGCTGGGATACATCTTAGTTGCATAAGAGCGATGCAACAGTATTCAGAGACTTCATCAAATGTGCTCCAGAGATAAAAGTGAGTTATTTTTAATCTGCATCCATCAAAACAAGGGGCTTCACCCTTTATCTCGCAACAAAACACTCCAGAAAACGCCTCTTTCAGCGCAATCTGCTCATCCGTGCAAATCAGTAACTACCACAAGTTGCTTTAAATGATAGCTGAAATCAATCATGTATGGGCTGTGTATTTCAGGCTGGGAAACACAGTCAAGTGCCCCAGGTTTGAAGAAGTTCATCTATTTCAGGCACAAGCCCGTGTTGTTGAAGGAAAGCTGATTAGCTCCGGGAGAAGAATAGAGGAAATGAAGACACAAGGGCTTTTCACTGATCTCAAGATACTTCAGAGAAATCTCAACATGTAAGCCTAATAAATCCACTGTGTCATCATGAGAGATGTACTGTGTGATGTTTGGCCAAAGAGAAAAACTGGGTCAGTGGCTGGGGGTTCATCAAGTTCAAATACATCAACACAACTAAAGTGATAGATTTTAAGAACAGAGACTTTTCTTTATCGTCTAAAAGAAATCAGTTCAAATAAAACATATTATTATCATATCGGTTGATACCTCTTGGAGATATACATATATACATAATATAAACATATTTAATTAAGGATTATTATTAATTGCTACACCTATACATTTTATATATACAGGTGAAACTCAAAAAAATATAATATCGAGCAAATGTTCATTTATTTCAGTAATTCAACTTAAAAGGTGAAACTAATATATTATATAGACTCATTACATGCAAAGTGAGATATTTCAAGCCTTTATGGAAACCCCAAAGTCAGAATTAGAATATTGTGAAAAGGTTTTCAAGCCATAATCATCAAAATTATAACAAATAAAGGCTTGAAATATGTGATCGTTTAATCTTTTAAATTGAACCTTTGCACAATATTCTAATTTTTCGAGTGTCGCCTATATATATATATTAATGTATTTTCTGTATATTTTTTTAAATATATACATATTTTACCTAATTTTATCATTTTTTGTGTGTGTTTTTTGTTTTTCACCTGATGTATCCGGTTGACTTGGCCCTCTATGGAATAATCCTCAGCACCGGTGCGTGTCGTACCTTCATGTCCCGGCATGTCCACACACACCAAATGCAAATTTCGAGGGAGAAACTACAAAAAGCAAAGAAAATCCGTCAAACATTTCTCTTTTTACTTCATCATCTGATCCATATAAAACAAAGTAATGATTGTGTCAGCAGAACATAATACTTTATGACTGCTTTCTAAATCATATCACATAACTCTTCATGTGATTTGTTGGTTAATAAATGAAATAATTAATTAATTTTGAGCATTTTATATGAATTTTTGCCCTTTAAAACCCTGAAAAATTGCATGTTCGAGCTGCGATTTCTTGCCTTGACCACACCGAGCCACATGTCCTTGTGTGCAGAGAATCCGTGTAACATGAGGACAGACGGACGTGCGCCTGGATTCCCTCTGTGAGAGAAACAGAAGCGATATCCTTCATATTCGACATAATCCACCTGCATTCCCAGCCTCCTGCGCCAATACCTGTTGAACAAATCACCAGAAAGACTTATCAGCTCAATGCTGATAGAGGCAAATCTCATGTTTTGCATGTAAAATAGATGGTCATTTCATGGTATTTTGATATACACAATAGTACTAGAGGTTTAAAATGCTTTCACCATGACCATGCATGCTATTTATACATTTCCTGAAGCAAATGCAAGTCAAGTTTGCCGGTGCATGATGAAAAATAGTTCCTTTTTTGTCCAAGACACAATATTTTACCCAACGTATGGCTATCATCTACCCATTTAATCCGGTTACATAACAAGACTTGCATGGGGAATCGTTCAAAATGCACTGCGCCTTTATTTTAGCAATAGTAATAGTGATGCTTTCAGAGTCAGCAACCCAGAAGTGACACTGAAGCAAGTAGTCCCGAGGCAAACAGCAGTTTTGATGACTGTGTCATTTAGAGCAAAGTTTGCCTCCCAGATATTACGAGAACCAAAGTCTACTGGGCAGCTTGCGTAAGATTCAACTGACATCAGCAACAATGTTCACAGCTAATGCACACACACACACATTCAGCTTCCTGGATGCAAAGAAACATCATGCATTATTCAAAGCTAAAGCCATTTGAATCACTGGCACCTTGTAGATATGTGTGACGAGTCAACGAACCCTTCAGCCAGTTTAGTGGCACGATAAAAAGAAGAGGGCTGTTAAACGAACATAGCTTTATCACCGTCACCAGATGAGAGACGTGCTAAATAATACAAGCATGAAAATCAGTAGTGAATCCTGAAAGATTAGCCATGAGATCGGGCCAGAAAACACCCACACAGCACAAAAAAATCATATTCTAACCTCGTATTTTTGTCTTATTTGCTTTTTTCCAGACATTTTCAACTTAAATCAGGATGCATTTACTTGAGAGATATTAAGATATTGATGATCAAAATTAAGAGTTTATCCTCAAAACAAGAAGACCAAGTCGGCCCATGGGGTAAGATAGGGTAAGAAGGACATATATTATATTTTTTTAAGCATAATTTTATTAAAAATATATCATTTTTATTAAAAACATGAGTTAATACTTTTTTATAATAGTTACTTAAAGTCATTTTTGCTTCTCAAGTAAGTATATCTTGATTTAAGAATGTGTGCTGGACAAGACAAAAACAAAATGAAACAAAAATATGTTCATGCCCTGGAAACATGATTTTTTTTACTGTTAAACATCATTCCTTTGGACTTTTATCATATTTTTGTGTGTTTGGTGCTGCAAATGACATCTTGCAACTTTATCTTGTGGATTGGACCCTGTGGTGTGTGTAACGGATTGTATTGATAAGGCTTTTAAAATAAACCAAGTGAACATTTTTTTTTCTCGTTTAACCGCAACACTGTAAGAAATATCAAGTGTTAAACTGCTGAAATGACTCCCCAGACGAATATCTGGACTGAAAATCCAGGTCACTTCTTCAGATGCTCTGCACAAATGAGGATTTAGTGAAATTAAATGTAAGCTCAGATCTCTCCAGCACTTACCAGTGATAAACTTTAATGAGAGCTGCAGGCCAGAGCAGGAACGAGGCAACGAAAGCCAGTATGGGGATCGCCAGCGTCCCTCCGGCAATGATGAACATGTTCAACACGTCCAAATCCATCCTGTTAAATAACACAGCTTTGGTCAGATATAGCATCTCATAAGTAGATTATCAAACCAAAACTGCAAGATATTTTTAAGCAATGACAGAGAAATGGGTTGATGCCCAGATGTGCACAGCTGAGACCAACACAATCCATTAGCGATGCAAAGTAAATCATTTAGTGAAGCAAAATTATAACAACATAAGGGTTAAAGATCTCTGGTCTTTATAGATAAATGTACAAAGCCAACCATGGTCAAAATATAAGGGCAAATAATGCAATTTTACCTAATTATATACAATATATATTTATATGATACATGCCTTTATACTATATATAAGCCTTTATTTGCTTTCATAGTCCTGAATTATATGTTTATCAGTGGATTAAGCAATACATGGATCGTTCAAACTGAGAAGGGAAGTAAAACAAAACAATCAATCATTATTTAGATCACATGAATTTGAGAAGCTACGCTTTGCTTTCATTTTTACTAAAAAAAAACATGAATTAATAACACTCAGATTTTTGATTTGATTTTTACATTGTAACACAACAGATCTGTCATGTGATCAAAGATCTGAGCTTGAATACACTTCCATGACATTGAAATCGCAATATTAAATGTAAATGCTCTTTAAATACAGTAAACATACCTTTAAATGTCCGTGTAATGCGAGAATGTCCAGTAAAGGCCGATCAAAGCACAGTCATATCAGCCTTTGAACTGCCGAGCTGCAGACGAGCTCACTGAACAGGGAAGTTCGCTCGATTTAAAGGGGAATAGATGTGGGGAAATAATGTTCCGTCGATAGGAATTATAAGCGAACATCTGTCAGGTGCATGTCTAACATCAGAAGAATCAAGTGGGCGGTAAATGTCGCTGGATAATAACAGTTTCCTGACAGAAACGTCCGTCAGGTGGCGCTCGGCGGCTCACATAACCAAACCCCACATTGAAGCGCATTCAGATTTCAAGGATGATGTCTGGTCTACTGATTCACTTGTCCAATTAAAATTATAATTGATTAAATAAATGAATATGGCTCTTATACAAAAGAAAATTGGCCAGCAGTCATATCAACGAAATGATTAATTAAAATCCCTTTTCCAGTAACCACAAACGGCTGTGATTGGTTCATCATGACCAGCGTTGAGAAATGCAACAGATATCAACTGACACCGCGCCGTCTGGTCAACTGTCAAAAGCTGCCTCCTGAATAATTATTCTACTGATTAAATTTAATTATCCTTCATTTTAATAATAGATATTGAAAATTAAGAAAATAAAAAAAAACAAGCTAATATAAATATATATTTTAATCGATCCCCTGGAAAACTTGCTTATTTAAAGGGGAATACACACTGGGAAAATAAAATGTCGTTTAAAATGTAGTCGTAGTTAACTTATGTCAGTTGCACAACCTGCGTCTCAGAACGGTAAGGACACGTATAACTCGAGTTTTTTTCAAGAAAGCGAAAGCATAATTAATAATTAACTATTTCTGTTATTTTTTACTGCGGTCACTTTAAGACCTGTACCTGGCAAATGTGCGCGTGCAGCTGCGATGGCCGAGTGGTTAAGGCGTTGGACTTGAAATCCAATGGGGTCTCCCCGCGCAGGTTCGAACCCTGCTCGCAGCGACGGGTTATACCTTTAATTAAAACTGGATCTATAAAAAAAGGATTCTAAATGATTCAAAGTGAAGATATCTATCTATCTCTGTCTGTCTAATATCTGTTTCAGGCTCTGGCTGTGAGTGATCATTTCCCACTCTGCTTCACTGTGACTCAAGCACATAGGAGAGGATGACAACATTCTCACTTTAGTCTTTTCCCACTTGTCTGCTTCATTAGAGCCACAGATGAGATTGAAGAACAGCTTATTATAAAAATGAAGCGGTTCAAACATAATGAGAGATGCAGAAAGTGAGAGTTCAGTCCTTTAGAAGAGGAACAGAAATGCTTCACTGAAGGATGAAGAAGAGCTTCCAGTGCTTGTTAATTATGAACCAGATCTGCAGTGTTGGTTTACCAGTTGCTATGAGACTGTAGAGTTAGTTTGCAAAGCTGTTACACATTTAACCCATCTATTTCTCCAATGAATAACTGTAAAAGTGGTTTATTTACATATAACAGCCTTTTACAATAAATGTTTTATCAAATGATTTCAAATCATAGGGATTGATAATGCTTAAACAGAAAATATATGATTTCATTTAAAGTAAATAAAGATTAACTTCAGAAAAAAGCTTGGATTAAAGGTGTCTGTTAAAAGTTCAGAGAGTGCGTTTCATCCGAGCTGATCCGTCACTGTGGGAATATTGAAAATGCCATTCCTGGCGTAGAAAGTGTTGCGTACAATCCCAGATCTCCCGCTGGCTGGAGTCTTACAGTCAATCTCATAGTCTCCTGAGGAAACAACGGGTTTAGTGCTTTTCACAATGACATGTAGCCATTATTATTAAGCTAACATTTTACTCTTTAATATTTTTTATTCAGGATTAACCATTTTACTAACCATATTTAGTTTTATATACACAACTCTTCAAGTTTTTTTTTTAAAAAGTATTGCTTTTAGTGTATTTTATATATACTGTATATAACTAATTTCAGATAATATCAGAAATTCTTGAGCAGCAAATCATCATATTAGAGTGATTTCTGAAAAAAAATCAGCAATGATGCTGAAAATTCAGCTTTGATCACAGGAATAAATTACATTTTACAATATTTTCACATAGAACATAGTTTTTTTTTATTGTAATAATATTTCACATTATGTCTGTTTTACTGTATCAAGCCTTGGCGAGCATTAACATTAGAAAACATTACGACCCCTAAACTTTTGAAAAGTCTCACAATACAAACAGATAATTACTAAAAGATTAATCATTAATCATCATGTTTACAATTGCTCAACTCTACAATATTAAACTTTAAAATTGTATTCCCATTTTTCCAACTTTTTACTCACCTAATCTCCATCCATAATCCCAAGATGAGAGAATGGGATAATCGAACTTTTCCTCAGGACCTTTTTGGGCTCGCTTCCTCAGGTACAGGTGTCGTCCTTTGCCTTCGTTGGACAATCCCTGATAAAGGTCAGCTTTAGTCTGCGGGGTCACGGGCCTCATCAGAGGGGCTTCGCTGAGGGACCGGCGCACTATCACAGGCTTCTTCTTCTCCTGCTTCTGAACCACAGGAGGTAGTGTGAGTTTACTGGCAGCTGGAGGGTTAAACACACCAGTGGACTTGGACCTGCGAGCCGTGAAGGTGGTCGGGTATTGCTCACTGTACTTCATCTTCCACGCCAGCCGTGTGTAAGCCTCCTTCAGGATCAGCTCACGGTAGAAGTTCTGGTCCTGGGTGGTCAGCAGGTTCCTCATGTCTCTGACTGATTAACGGGACAGAGAGGCCACAGAAACATAAGAGGTGCAGGGCTGACCAATCACAGGAAAGATCACTCAGTGGAGAGGCCTAAACACACACACACACACACACTGTGCTGACAGGAGAACAAAAGAGACTCTGCTGAGTGCCAGAGCAAAGGGAATCAGTTTCAGCAGAGAAAGAGTCACATACAGAAGGCATAAACAACAATAGGGTCTCAGAGTTGAAATGCTGAAAAGGGACAGTTTACACGACATGTTTTATTTTCAACTAAAAATTTAATATTTTTACATGACAACGCATTTTGGGGGGACTGAAAACGCAAACTTTTGAAAATAGGTTTCAAAGCAAGTTTCTGAAAACGAAACTGTTTAGCGTTTTTTTTTTTTAAATTGAAACATTTTCAAAGAAAACAATCACAATATAGAACAAATAAACAGAAAAAAACACAAAAAGAAAAAAAAAAGAAAAAAAAAAGACTACAAGACAGGGGTATATAACTAATCAGAAAAAAATACACATATTTTTAAAGCCTTCCTGTTACAAAAGTCAAAGATAGTCCCAAAGTAGTGTTGTATTTCAATAAGTAAAACATTGAAAAGTGGTATCTGACCTGAAAATTTACATTTATGTATATAAAATTTTGTCAACAAAGAAAGAAGATTAAGAAGGAATATTTTGTTTTTGTGTAATTGTTCTTTTTTTTTCCCCGTTAACAAATCCAAACAAAACATTTTCCCAACGTAAAGAAAATTGCTTATCAATGTTCTCAATAACAAATCGGGAAAAGTCTTTCCACAATAAATTAGATTAATGGGAAACTGTTTATCGTCTCCGTGTAAACCGGTGTAAACTACTAAAACCGTGACGTGAAATCATGCGCATTGCGCATGCGCACTTCGTGTGTGAATAAGGTTCGTTTTGGTTTTGACAACGTTGTAATCTGTACACGAAAAACGCTTCTATTTTTAGTACATCTTTGTCATGTAGATAAGATTTAGCCTACATAAAGCTGGTTTATGATGGTCTTCCAACACAAACAGATGAAAAGTGCCCCAAAACCAGTAAACAGAGCAGCTAGACCAGTCAACTAGCGGTTTTCAGTCGTTTTTCAGGCCAACTTTTTCGCCTGACCCTGGAGTTGTAATGCTTAAATCGGTCCTGAAGACGGCAGCAGAACGTTTCTGGGCATTATCTACAATACTACAAACTCAAACCCACTGCAAAAAGACACAAAACACCCCTCCACCCTCTCTTCGCCCGCCATGTAGACTAATTTAATTGAAAATAAAGACCGTTACATAATTTACAAGACATTATGAATAAGAAAATTCTAAATAATAACAAAAATTCCAATAATAAATCAGCACAAAGCTGAATGGACTTACTGATCACAATGGCTTCGACTAAACAAAGCACACTAATGAATAATGTGCACGACCTTTGGAACTATAAATATTCTTGTTTATTTGGCAATACATTTGCTGTACTGTATACAGGGTCATTTCTATGGCAACAACAGATAGATCAAGGTGGCCCATTCACTTCCTGTTAAACACGACACATTTAAAGGAACAGTTCACCCAAAAAAAAGAAAAGACATTATCATTTACAACCTCTCACGCAAGTAATGAGACATTGTAGATTCTGAATTCTTTATTCCAGTCAATTTTAATAAGCAAATGTACATCAAATCTACTAGCGTGTTTCACAATAAGGCACCAATGGCTAAATACAAAATACGCCCATTGCCACTTACAAAATACTTCACCACTGGAGTATCAAAACTAGTAGAATTAAGACAAACATGAAGGTCTAAGGAATGAAAAAGAGTTCTGCATAAATCTAGCATATTAATCTTCAAAAAGCAAGAAATTCTGATGTGAAAATACTGGGTGTTTTGGTCTTGAAGGCTCTGCAAGTCTACGATCTTGATATACAGAAATTGTTTTATATTACATCTTTATTTCCTCGTTGCATCTAAACTGTTCAATATGTCGCAGTGAAACCGTTGACATGTCTACAGATGTGCTTGATTTGAAGAGATGGACGATGCTTTGATTTACGAGTAAATAAACATCAGTTTACACAGTGAGAATCGAACACAGACAAAATGTTATAATATGCTAATTAAAAGTGACAGAATGTTAGAAACAAACGAATAATTAGAGTCAATATCAGTAGTAAAGAGATGTTAGGGTGCAAAACCCTGATCAGTTTGTTCATACACGGTCATTTCAACTTTAACACAACAGAAGAGATGTACAATTCATGCATCATATCATGCTGTCAACGTTACCGTCATAACGCATCACATTCCAGTCAAAAACCTGATCAAGTGCAAACAAAATTAAGAAGGTCTGAATGATTCGTTCACTGACGCCTTCTATTTATTTTTTTACAGTGTCTTTCTCTCTCTCAGGAGTGTTTTGGGTTTAACCGCAGGGAATTATGGGACAGTGACTTGGAAGGGGGAGCCTGGGATGTGTTCGTCTCCCCATTTGACAGCCAGAACGTAGTTGCCCCGTTCCTTTAAGACGTAGCTGATATTGTACTGCATGTTTCCCGTGTGTTTCACCAAGATCTCCTCGCAGGGCGTCAGAGGACCGTGAACACCGACCAGGAGCATGTTCTTCCCTGGTGAACAAAGATGACATAAAAATTAAAAATGCATGCAACTAAATGTAAAACTATTAGGGGGCCTAAAAATACACACACATACACCTACAAAACAACAACTAATATTAGTACTACTACAATAACAATAAAAAACAATAATATTGTAACTATATTAATTAACTATTATAGTAGAGTGGTTTCAAAATAATATAATGATAAAATAAGTTACATATACAAAATTATTATTAGCAGTAACGGCAATAAAAATAACAATAAAATAAATATAAATAAAATGTATTTAATTAAGGATAATAAACAATAAAACATAACAAAAGTATTATTAATAACAAAATAATTACATTTATAATGTATTAAATTAATAAAAATAACAAAAATTACTCACATGTGTACATTTCTTTTATTGTTAAAAAATTTCTTTTATTGTAAAAAAAAAACTATATTGTAAATTATATTAATTAACTATTATAGTAGAGTTGTTTCAAAATAATATAACGATGATAAAATAAGGTACATATACAAAATTATTATTAACAGTAACTGCAATAAAAATAACAATAAAAAATATAAATAAAATGTATTTAATTAATGATAATAAACAATAAAAAAGTATAACAAAAGTATTATTAATAACAAAATAAATTACATTTATAATGTATTAAATTGATAAAAAATAACAAAAATTACTCACATGTGTACATTTATTTTATTGTAAAAAAACAATATTGTAAATATAGTAATTAACTATTTGTTGTGTTCACATAATTACTAAAATCAATATTGTGTTTGCAAAAAAGCCGAGACACACAGAAGTCGTATTACATGCTTTTACTGAACTTCCTCTTTTTCACATCCTCCCATGCGCACCCTCAACATCGCGCAGCTCATTCTATCACCAACACAGCTAGATTACTTCATAATAGTAGTCCTCTTGTTATTTTCCTAGCAGTACGTAAATAAATGATTTTAGTAATTATGTGAACACAACACTATTATAGTAGAGTTGTTTCAAAATAATATAATGATAAAATAAGGTACATATACAAAATTATTATTAACAGTAACGGCAATAAAAATAACAATAAAAGAAATATAAATAAAATGTATTTAATTAATGATAATAAACAATAAAACAACAAAAGTATTATTAATAACAAAATAATTACATTTATAATGTCTTAAATTAATAAATTACTCACATGTGTAACTTAATGTTATTTTTCTTATTAATTGAATATATACACAAACATACAAATGTGTGTATATATAAATAAAGTCATGCAAATTTTCCTAGTAATAAACAGATCTCACCTGCTTTACTGCAGTCGACAGTGAAAGAGGCTTTCTGGCCCACGAAGGCCTTACTGAGACCCGGCCCTCGACTGAGCACTTTACTGGCGTCAGAGGCGGCTCTGGGAGACGAGCTGTAAGAGTTCACACTGCTCGACCGGCTCACCGACTCCACCATCAGAGTGGACATCTCGCTGGCGTTGGTCACGTTCACCAGCCGTTGACCTGAACACCACAACAAGAGTTCAACACCTCGACGAACAACTCAATCTCAAACACAACACCATACTGGATCCTTCTGGCTCAGATCAGAGCACACGTCCAGTTCCACACACACACACACACACACACACCTGTGACTTTGGCCTTAAACGGGCTTCCGGTGATGTGGTTGGGGCCGCCGTATTTGATAGTGATGATGTAGTTTCCAGGGGCCATGGGTGTGTAGTGCACTTTAAACCCTTCGGGACACTCCTGACACTCCATCTTCACCTTGGACGGGCCCTCGATCGTGACGGACAGAGATCCGGGTCCAGCTTTGGTGTTATTGATGATAAACTCGGCCTGGTTTCCTGTGAATATGATGTGAGAATGTCAATTTAGGAATGTGTATGATGAGCTACAATATTCTCATTTCCTGCTTCGACACAAAGACTGTTCAGAATAACAAACTACTAAGTAATTAGTTACTGTAATTTAATTACTTTTCCCTTGAAAATGTAAAGTAAGGGATTACTCTTCATTTATCTGTAATTTAATTACAGTTACTTCTGATGTAATTGAGGTAAACACTGTGTGTATAGATCAATCCGATCTCAGCGATTCGAGGTGTCTAAATATTACGACCGCACTCGTACAAATTCATGAATTATTGTAAAATATGTATGAAAAAAGTGTGAAATGTGTGAGATCAGACATAAAACAATAGTGGGTTTAATATCAAAATGTCTTGTCTGATGCTAAAGTATGTTTTTATAATGTAACCTTCTCCACCTTGGTCAGTTTAAGGATAATTCATGCAATTTTATAGCATTTATTTGAAAGAATTCAAACAGATTCATGTCTATCCTTGTATTATTCAGCTGGTTGAGATTGATATGGGATTTTGAAAGTAATTAAAAGTAATTAAATACTTTTTAAAGAGAGTAATTAGTACAGTAATGTAAT